GTGAATTATTATGTTTTTTTTTTGTCTGTTATATATTTTTTATTGTTATAGTGGAAAGTGACATTTTGGTCCAATGAAGTCATTTTTTATTTTTCAGTACGAAATTAAACAGGGTGCAAAAGCAGCACTTGCAGTTTCTTACCGGTTCCCCTTCTTCTTTTCTCGGTACAAGGTTTCCCGTAATAGATTTACGAACTATAAGCACAGAGTTTCGACTTTCTTATATGCTTGTAACTAGTAAGCCAACTTGTCTATAATAAATTGTATTGACTGAATAAATTTCGCTTACTAATCATTAAGCGAGATACCGTGCGTACTGTGTCACAATTTTAGTTCAGAGCATCTTTTTTGGTAGTAAACATAGAAAACTTGAAACACCTACATAATCTTTGTATTATATTATATGTAAAAGAACATAAAAATACTGTAAACTTTGATGAATAAACAAGAGAAAATAAAGAAAACAAAGTTGGTAGATGAAAAAGTGATATAATTTATTAAAAAAGTAACAATTCGCATTTTATTTAAAAATTTGGTTAGCAAAAAGAAAACAGCCGATAAATCAATGGGCAAGCATAAAATATTTTCTCAGCACTAAAACTGTCTGCAATTCATGTTCTGTGAACAATCATGATAACGGTCAGCAATTTAAATACAAAAAGGTAGCGTATTTTATGATGCACCAGCAAAATAAACAGCCACGCCGCAAAATAATTATTTGGGTATTAAGATTATACTATTGAACAGCAAAGAAAACCTTTAAATTTTTATTAAAATTATTTTACTCATTCTATTGTAATTTTACTGGGAGTATATTATGATTAGAATTTTATATTTTAATATTATTATATATTGCATTCTGATTTTTCCAATTAAAATAGTTGTCATATGACCGCAAGACTAAAAATAAGGTACATTTATATAATAACAAAATGACTATATAAAAAACTAAATAAATAAATCAGTAAAATCAAATGAAAATTAACTAAGTGTAATAGACAAAAAAATTGCAAAATTAAGTTAAAAGCAATTGGCAAAAATTTTTACCAGCGTATTTGATTGGCAATGCATCATCTCGTAATTTTATTATATTTAAAGTTCGATTCAAACAACTTTCCCTAAAATGAAGTGAGCAGATAAAAGTAACTTTTTCATTATATTTAATATTTTCTGCTCCAATGGAACTCGGCCATATTCCTCTTTTTGTTTCATCTTTTGGTAATCTAAAATAATGAATATATTTTTAAATAATAAAATTATCGATATAAACCCAATGTTAAAGTACAACACTAGCCATGTAAACAACATTATTTACGGACCGAAATATTATAGAAATATAAACGAAAAGAGCAATATAACATAAATAGAACACGCCAAAATACGATATGTATTGATTTATACACGCATTCATTTTCAGAAAGCTTAGTTACGTTTTAAATACTGTTTTTCTAAGAAAATGTTTAACTTGCCGGTGAAACATAATATTGCTCGGTTTGCGGGATATCGATGACGCACAACCAATTACACTGCACCTAGGCATTGTTTTGCATAAATAATTTACAAGTTTCTGCCATGAAAGTATTATAAATTAAAGTTAGAAATGAAAATAACCACAAAACTTATAACACTGACAGCTGAACTACTTCCGAGAATACGCACTGCATATTTGCAAATGGCGGACAAGTGGTACGATAGCTATATGTCTTGACGTCACGTAAAAAATTTTGAACTGTCACACTAGTGCGATCTTTGTTTACTAAAGACACTTCTTATTATATAGTTAAAAAAAGACAACATGATGTTTTCGATGCCAACTTCAGATTGCATGATATTTATATAACCATAGAAAATACGATATTTCCACTCTACCATGTCTCTATGATATATCATCATAACATTAGTGTCTTCTGTCCATAGACATAAAAGAAGAGGACCGGCCATACCTAGGATAAAGCGTATATGCCTAAACTTCAAATGCAAATTCTTCGATGGCGGATTGTCATAGGGCGTGACCCAAGATATCGATATTTGTATCGACATTGAAGTCATATTAAATAAAAGTTAGTATTTCGTGAAACTGCTACAATACTACTACTTATTAAATAATATAATATAATTTTCATTGTTAGGGGCATGGCTAAACTATTACCTATTACACTTCTATCCATTTCACACTTACGTACCAATCCTATTTATGATTATTATTAATTAAATTGAAAAATTCACGCCAGTATCAAGAAAATAATATTTTTTTAAAAGTGGCGTGAATTTATCAATTATTTATAAATCATTAAGCAATCTCTTGCTCGTATTTTGTTGGACATCTAAAATTTCTTGCATTCTTTGTTCTTGCGACTCCGTTGCGTCACTATAATAAATATAACATATGTTACCAGCGTATGATGGCGCTTCCCACGGGTAAAAGATTATTCGTATTCCAAATTTCATCAAAATCCGTTCAATAGTTTTTACATGAGAGTAACCAACATCCATCCTCACAAACTTTCACATTTATATTATTTAATAATATAATTTTATAATATGATTGTACCTCGATAAATATGTTTCTTTTTCCTCTAATATAGCCAATTTTACATAGTTTTAAGAACTATAGTACCAAAATATATATCTTAAAAGTTTTACAATAATATCAATCGTGTTTTATAATTATTTCCATATATATTGTCAAGTTGACATTTTGCAATTATAATTAAATAGTTTTTTTAACATAAGTTTAATTTTGCATCCACGGGAAGTGTGACTACTGTCCAAGATAACTACCACGGTAACTATAATAAGCTTTTAATGAGTCGATTGACGAATGAATTATTATGCTTTTTTTTGTCTTTTATATATTTTTTATTGTTTTGGTGGAAAGTGACATTTTGGTCCAATGAAGTCATTTTTTATTTTTCAGTACGAAATTAAACAGGGTGCAAAAGCAGCCCTTGCAGTTTCTTACCGGTTCCTTTCTTACAGTTTCTTCTTTTCTCGGTACAAGGTTTCCCGTAATAGATTGCTGAACAGTAAGCACAGATTTTGACTTTCTTATATGCTTGTAACTAGTAAGCCAACTTGTCTATAAATTTATTCAATAAATTGTTTTGACTGAATAAATTTCGCTTCCTCCTCATTAAGTGAGATACCGTGCGTACTGTGTCACAATTTTAGTTCAGAACATCTTGTTTAGTAGTAAATATAGAAAACTTGAAACACCTACATAATCTTTGTATTATATTATTGGTAAAAGAACATAAAAATACTGTAAACTTTGATGAATAAACAAGAGAAAATAAAGAAAACAAAGTTGGTGATTATTCATCATTTCATCATTCAGTAACAATTGCCATAACAGTAACATTATTAAAGAAGTAACAATTGGCATTTTATTTAAAAATTTGGTTAGCAAGAAGAAAACAGCCGATTAATCAATAGGCAAGCATACAAATATTTTCTCAGCACTAAAACAGTCTGCAATTCATGTTCTGTGAACAATCATGATAACGGTCAGCAATTTAAATTCAAAAAGTTAGCGTATTTTATGATGCATCAGCAAAATAAACATCCATGCCGCAAAATAATTATTTGGGTATTAAGATTATACTATTGAACAGCAAAGAAAACCTTTAACTATGCCTTTAATTTGATAAGTGTGCATATTTTAATTTTTATTAAAATTATTTAACTCCTTTTATTGTATATTTTACTGGGAGTATATTATGATCAGAATTTTATATTTTAATATTATTATATATTGCATTCTGATTTTTTTCAATTAAAATAGTCGTCATATGACCGCAAGACTAAAAATAAGGTACATTTATAGAATAACAAAATCACTATATAAAAAACTAAATAAATAAATCAGTAAAATCAAATGAAAATTAATTAAGTGTAATAGACATTTTTTTTTAAATAAGTTAAAAGCAATCGTCATAAATTCTTACCAGAGTATTTGATTGGCAATGCATCATCTCGTAATTTTATTATATTTAAAGTTCGATTGAAACAACTTTCCCTAAGATGAAGTGAGCAGATAAAAGTAACTTTTTCATTACATTTAATATTTTCTTCTTCTATGTAACTCGGCCATTTTCCTCTTTTGTTTCATCTTTTGGTAATCTAAAATAATTAATATATTTTTAAATATTAAAATTATCGATATAAACCATATGTTTAAGTAACGACACTAGCCATATAAACAATATTATTTACGGACCGAAATATTATAAAAATATAAACGAAAAGAGCAATTTAGCATAAATAGAACACACCAAAATACGATATGTATCGATTTATATGCCGCAATCATTTTCAGAATAACTTACTTACGTTTTAAATACTGTTATTCCAAGAAAGTGTTTAACTTACCGGTGAAACGTAATATTGCTCGGTTTGCGGGATATTGATGACGCACAACCAATTATACAGCACCTAGGCATTGTTTTGCATAAATAATTTACAATTTTCTGCCATGAAAGTTATATAAATTAAAGTTATAAATGAAAATAACCACAAAACTTATAACACTGACAGCTGAACTACTTCCGAGAATACGCAAAGCAAATTTGCAAATGGCTAACAGGTGGTACGATAGCTATATCTCATGACGTCACGTAAAAAATTTTGAACTGTTACATTAGTGTTATCTTTGTTTACTAAAGAAATTTCTTATTAGTTAAAAAAAGACAACATGATGTTTTTGATGTCAACTTCAGATTGCATGATATTTATATAACCATAGAAAATATTTCCACTCTACCTTACTCTATGCTTCTGTCAATGTCAGTTACTGTCAAAGTCATTATCGGTCGTTGTGTTGTGTTGTCGTTGTTGGTCGATTTTGGAGGATCGACATCAATCGACATACTCTGAAGAAAGACAGAGACCTTATTTTTTTTACCTCCTTTTGTTAAAGTTTTCAATGTGAGTGATATATTCCATTTATTCTAATGTATTATTCACAAAATAGTATTACAAGGTTGTGATGTTTATGTTATATTACGATGGGAAAATTCAGTACTTACAGGTATTTAGAGGTAAGTTATCAGAAAAAATGTAAATATTTACCTTGTACCTGTTTTATTGAAACAAGAATAATAAAACATTTTATCAGGTAATATTACGCTACTGCGTTAATTAACTACCTGTTATCTTGTGAATAATTAGTAGTGTTATAAAATTATTTAGTAGTTTGGGCGTTTTCTGATTGGGAGACAAAATAGAAACACAAGGTTTCAGTTACCTGTAAAGGGTTACGGAAATCGTAAATCTGAAAGATGAACTAATAAATAAATGGTTTTATGACGGTGCTATGATCAATAGGACATCTCTTGTTTTTTGTGGTATAAAAAATCTCAAACAACTTTTATTGGTAATGTTACCAATTAATCTAAATATGTATATTCTAAAAGATATCTCACTTTGTAACTATAGTCTTATGGATTATATACACATCATCACATGATGACCTAGAGAACCCAAACTGTTCCCTATGCTTTATAAACCTTTTTTTGGTTTACTCTTGTTTTGGTGTGAAAATGAGCAGATCGACACAATCTCTTTCTTATATTAGTATTTATTAACCATTATATATATATACATATATGTATATATATATATATAGTAATTGTTTGTATTGTTTGTTACAGTTAAAAGATGATACCTCAACACCACACATCAATGTAAGGAGCAGAACCATAAAGCAGCCTAGGCGTTTGAAGAAAATATTTATTCTACTTATAATAGCAGCATTATTTGTCACATACTTTTTAGGTAAGTTCTTTTATTAATATTATTGTCTGTCTGATTCAGCATATGATCAAAGTCAATCAGCAAGTTTTGCTGATTACAAAAATACCTATATAAGTTAGTCAACTGGTTAAACCATATCAAATCCATAGCTAGTCTATTGCCTAACCTTCTGCATGAATTATATGATTTTCTTTTAAATAGACTTTCAAATCCTTAGAGTTTGTATTTACACAAATTTATAAAAAATTAATACTTACTGTATTTTGATATGGTTTCATATTACTGTATTAAAAAAATGATTTTCATTCATATTACCTTTCAACCATTATTTTATTCCCCGGGATAAAATTTACATATACATACATATAAATACATAAACACAAGTGTTTATTTACTTTTATTAGTAACTTACATGAAGATTTATGTTTCAAGTTGAAAATTAACAGGCTTTCTTACAAATTGTCTAAATCAAACATTTACACTCTATGTTTTTTCTATTGCACAGCAAAATGGATTAGGCACACTATAATTAGAGCCACTTGACTGGAAAACAATGGTTGAATGTAAACAGCTTCATTATGACTATGGATAACTAAATTATAACAACATATTTCATGAAGATGATACCTTTACTCTATAATTTCCATCCCTTTGCTTCATCAATCAGTTTATTAGTGCAAATGTTAAATTGTACATGGTACAGGAAATATAATTGATATTATTAAACAGTTGTGTGACTCAGATAAATAAATGTTACAACAGATGGTTAAGATGCTATAATATGAAATCTTTAGATAAAATCACACAATAAAAAGTTAGAAACAAAAAAGTATTTTACAGCGATAGTTATATCATAATAGCAATGATCAAGGGACAGCATAGTATACTATTGCTCATAACAAAACAAACTGTTGTGGCATACAACTATGCTGTACAACTACTGTCAACAACTACTGTTATGCTGTCCTTTGGTCATCTCTATTATAATATAGCTGTCTCTATAAAATGAATTTCTTGTTTCAAATTTTTAGAGAGCTGTAGTTTTAGTTTATGAACTCATTATTAATTGAACTTATGCTAATTAAGCCCTTTCATTTGATACCCTACATGGAATGGTATAATAATATTTTTTTAAGTTTCTTAATTTATGCTCTCTTGAGGGCGCTGTTGTCAATTTGATGTAAAGTCACATAGCCTATTGCACACGGACAACTAAGACGATATCTCATTTGTCCAGTTACATCAAGTAGTTTCGAAGTTCTAAGGGAAAAGATGAACATACATATATACCGGCCAAAATCATAACCCTCCTTTTTGCTTCGCCGTAATCAGGTAAAATATCGCTCGCCATACATGCTAATGGCCAAAGGTAGATAACCTTATTCGTTAAGATTAACGATATTAAATTATGTTATTTTAAAATATCTTAAAATGAAATATGATAGCATCTTAACTATCTGTTATGAGTTTAATGTGGTAAATATATTGTGATAAATGAATTAATATTTGATTAACAACCTATCAGCGTAATTACTTATCTTTTTAATAAAAAAAAGTGACATACAATATCTTATTATTCCTCAATTGATTAATGGCATCACTGTACAACAGTATTTCTGTTCAGTTAAGACTTTTATTGTACAATTAACAAGTTACTAGCTTTCCACTGGCGGCTTCGCTCGCGTGGATCATATGATTTTCTTCCATACAAGTTTTCAATCCCTATTGGAATCTCTAGGGATAGAATTTCGATAATTACTGAAACAATTATTTAAATCCATTTGCGTCTTGAAACAAATTTTTTATAATGCATATATGTATGTTTTGAAAACGCTTAAATAGTGACGGTAATTTATATACATTTTATTTTGGCTTAAATTAGTGTATCGCATTTAATATTAGTCAGTATAAAGTGTTGAGATTTTTAGAGCGTTCAATATAAGAGTAGACATAGTAACTCTTATAAATAAATTCAGTGTGGTTAATTCCTGGAAAACAATAGCCCTAATGCAGGGGTCGCAACCTGCGGCTCGCGAGCCGCACGCCGAACCTATTAAATGGTTGAGTACCCATATATTATAATACGATTGAGATATCACAGAGAGAAAAATGTTCAAAGCTGTTTGTTTATATAAAATTTGAAAATTATTATGAATATCATTGAAAAGAAATCTTTCAGTGATTCTTTAAAAACTGTTAAATTATTTAATCGTAGCTTTTGGCTCTGTCGCCCCAAAAGCTTAACGACATCTGCTGTAAGATCAAAATAACGCTCAATACACTAGTTCAAGGCAAAAAAATCAAGCTTTGGATGGCATCTGCAAGCTTTACTCTGTAAATTCGTGCATAACGATCGGATCTCGTCCATCTAGAGTGTATTAATTTACAAGCATGCATGTTTTGTCAGGCATTCTTTACAATAACACGTTCTTTTGTTATTTTTGCTCGTTTTAGTACGTAATATCGGTGACTGACCATATTATTCATACCACAAAAATAAGCTATAGAATTTAACATAGCAACGATTCGCGAATAATAAAAAAATAATTGATATTTGTACACGAGAACGATATAAAATTTCATTTATAAACAGCTAAGCAATAAATTTCTTTCAGTGTGAAATTAAAAATTCAGATTTCATAATACAACCGTTCTGCGAATGCATCACACATACGGTTAGTTGCACAAATGTCCATTAAGGTTTAATAACGCTTTTAAGCTCTAATGAATGTCAATTTGTATCGGTTTAAAGTAATGATAATTTTAATGGACGTTTTTGCAACTGGCTAATAATATCTTTTTGTAAAATATATACTAATACAAAGCCTATAAAGAGGTTAAGTTTCTTATTTCGTTTGTTTTTGGGAATTAAACTCATCGAAAACAGCTAGTATTTGTAGTTTAAAGATATATATATATGAAAAATTCTTAATAAATCCACATTGTCCCCGGTACTATGAGATAAGATACAAACCCTTGAACGACCTTTGTTATAAACAAAAGCCCATCTCACAGAGTACCAGGGACAATGTGGATTAAGATTAAGGATATTTTCCAGTATAGCAAATTGAATTTAAAATTGATCAAATATAAGTAAATAATTTATTTTTGAGCTTTGTAGTAGCGAAAAGTAACATGTGCTGTCAGTCCTGTTAGGTCCTGGGTAGCTCAGCGGTTAGAGCAGGTGCCAGGGACCAAGTGGATTTTTTAAGCATTTTGTATTAAGAATATAGTAAATAAATTCTTTATTAAAATACTTTAACAGAGATCAACATACAAAATTGTGAAAAAACACAAGTGTTTGAACTAGGAAAATTCTGTATGTCAAGCGAAGGAAAAGACTTCCTTAACCAACATTATACCTACTATCAATATAGAACATAAACTAAATATAAACATATGCAGGATAAAGATTCGAAGCAATTTATTAATATAAACCTAATTTAAAGCAGCGTTCACAACTTATTTAGTAACAATAATCTCTCCGTATGACAATAAATTGAAGGGCTTCGTGAAGACTATTCTTAAAAATGTTGTAATTAAGGTGATATGTGCTTAGCTTTGAATTTAGTCCGACTTAAAGAAGACGTATAAGAGAAACAAAGAATCTGGAGCAAAAGGGATTCTTTGGTCCTTTTAATCGAAATTAAAATAGGTGTAGATCATATTACAACTCTAAACAGAGTGGAGAATAGCTGCACATAGCTGTATATTGGTATTATCTGTCGTGTACCCGGTGCTTTACCTTCCACTATCAAATGGTGGAGGGGGAGTAATCAAACGGGAGATCTTTGTGTCTCTGGTGATGTGACTGAGCGAGTGTGCTACCAGTGCGTCTTTAAAAAAATAATGGAAATGCCTAACGGAACAGTGACTTTAGTGCATACTCTTCCTATTCTCGTCACAGGTATTTGTGAATGTATTTTTTTAAATGAAATCTTTTTGTTGTAGTTGAAAGTAATTCGTTGATAAATAACACGCGTTGATGAGAGATATAAAATGAATGCTGGATCAGGGTTAGATGTTTATCATGACTAGGTAAACGCTTTCTATGTATATTTGATATGAAACTAGTTTTAGACTTAGTGTATCAAGTGGAGCTTTCACAGAGTTATTTTTTAATACCGTCACGATTGAGATGAAATTGATTAAGTTAATAAATTTTAGTTATAGTGTGTTACTAAACGAATCTAAAAATTCTTTCAATAAGTTTATTCGAATAAACAATTCTTTCATATTATTTTTTATTGATATTATATTTGTTATTTATTTAAGAGTTAAGATTCTAACCGCATTTTGAAACACATTTGTTGTAGTCGTGTCATTTTCAAGTTTATCAGGTTAGATATTTTTAGTCGAAAGAATTGAGTCATTCCTCGGCGAGTTTACAACTAAACACAAGTAGGTATTTCCACATGAATGTGTATTGTTTACTGATCAGTTCACTAACATTACAAGTGTATCGTCCACAGTAAACATGTATAGAATTTGTTACGTTAACTTTGTGTATATATTTTGAAATTGGAGGAAATTTCAGTTATTTCCAATATATTTCACTTATCGGCAATATTGGCGTAGCGGTATTAATTTAAATACAATCCAATATTTTTGTATATGAAGTATGATATGTATAAGGGTTTTGTTTCATTGGCTTTTAGTATATTCGATAAAGAATATAAATTAATCAATATAAACTAAATTTACCCTGAGTAAAAAGGGTATCTAAACTAAGATATGTACGTCGCGACGCGTTGGTCGGGAAATATCAGGAACTGACAAATATAAATGAAAACAATGAAAGCCTTAAATGAAGTACTTAATTTTTTTTTTATAGTTATATTATGTACTAACCCAAAAATAATAGGTATATAAATATTCAATTTATTTATATGTATATTATCTGAAACAAAGTATTTGACATAATTCTGTGGGAGGAGCGATGAGGTTTGCATTATTCATACGCATTTCTTATAACATATGGAATTCATAAAGATATAAGCATATTTTGCGCATTTGAACAAATAACTTTTTATAATTTCAGAGTGACATTGTGACATAATTTTTTTTTATTTTTTTTTATTATTTTTTCCTAATTATTTCTTAGTTCGTATCTGTTTAGCTGATAATAAATTAATAGCGCATGTCAATCATGTTTGATTTAATTAATTATAACAAATAACCAATTAACTGTGACAAGTATACAATACTCGTGATATTGGAATGTCGTCTTATTTACACAATATTATTAATTTGGGCCAATGGCAATATGTCATAGTGTTGTAATGCAAATCAAAGTCAATGTTTCAGTTGTTTCGTCAGCCTAGGCCTGGCGAATGTTTCCTTTTTCTATCTAAAGTGAAATGTGTTACGCGTTATCCCTGCCACCTGGTAGCACCTTAGCTTTGTTTATTAGCAAAGTTAAAATTCAAAAATCTATATAAATAAAAATGAACTTCCTTTCGTTAGTCTCGCTAAAACTCGAGAACGGCTGAACCGATTTGACAAATTTGTCTTGAAATATTCGTGGAAGTCCTGGGAAGGTTTAAACGATGAGAAAATGTGACAAAATTGCGAGTATAATACTGAAAACGACAATTTGATTTTCCCATACAAACTGTTCTTAGCTGTCGAACGTTCAGTTGACGATCAATATTTATGGTCGTGCAGTGGTCAGTTTATGCAATATTTTTCAATGTTAATATGGTTTTTATTAAGAGGTAAGTGATACGAAATTCACCGGGTCAACTTAGTATATATATATATATTTGCAAATATTTTTAATGAAAAATGTCTATTTAATCCACTTTCTCCCTGGCACTCTGATATGGGATATGAACCCACGACCTTTCGCAATCCGGGCGACTGCTCTAACCGCTGAACTACCCAGGAACTAACAGGACTGACGAATTCTTCAAGCACTAGTTACTTATTAGCTACTACACAGCGTATTTCATCGCTTGACGTGTCCCATCTCAAGTTTCATCCAAAGTGGATTTTTTAAGCATTTTTCATTAAGCATGAAGATATATATGGTAAAATGTATATATTGAAATAAAAGCTCACACTAAAAGTTTCAAGAATGGGCCCCTTACAAAACAGTATTTAAAAGTTGTAACTATAATGGGGTAGTTTTCGGTGAAAAATAAGTAACAAAATTACACAAAAACTAAAATTTAAATCATAATAATCATATAGTTTCTGATTTAGGTTTTAAAATCGCACGATTACCTTAATATCTTAAAATTATATTCGTGAGTTTATGTCGCTGTGTCATGTGACTTGAAAGGCGACCCGCCATTGTGTATGAATAATACCTACAATACATTATCTGAACTTCACCACACGGAGGAACGCACAAATGTTTTCAAAATTGGTTCATTCATACGAAAATGTGCATTGACGCAAAGATTGGATGAATGACGCAGAAGGATTCCGCATAAATACATCTGTCATCTTTCTAGGAGTGTTTACCAAATATACTGTCTGATTATTCATAAACTATTGTGAAATTTAAACTTCTTGTAAACTAGTAGCAATTTTCTGGGTATATTATCGAAATGTAGCTTTTTCGTATTTTTTCCAATCCGTTATTGTTCTACGGTCATGACGATATCGTGGCATAAGTAAAGTGAGTTTCGGAATGATACAAGGATAGAATATCTGAGTCACATATGAATCAATCAACCTTGTTTTGTATTTTTATACAAAAAATTAAAGCAATAGAATTTCTACACTAATAAAAGTTAAGCGGATCCGCTATCAGAGTGAATTAGAATTCGTGTTCGGATTTTCACGGAATCGCTCTGCAGGTGCTAAAGACCTTGTTATCTCGTAGTGAGATGGATATTTAATATAATGTGGAATAATGTCAGATATTTTTCTGTAATGTTTGATGTAATGAGTCATTTTTGAGACTTATGGTAACACTTCATTGGTTCTTCTTCTTCTTTTATAAATGGCTTATCTGCGTATTTCGCAATGTGAAGTGAATAAATTAATTACATGTAAAATCAGAATTGTAGACAAAGGCCCATTTCATTGGAATTCACAAGCTTAAGTAATTCCTCTTCGTTTTTTTTTGTATTTGTTATATTAGACAAGTAACTGTCATCTTTAGTCAGTATACTTGACCAAACATAGGTTGGTTTTATTTGTCCAATAAGAAACACTTGTTAGCTTCTTGTGAATTGCCAAGTGTAAAGTTCCGTTCGACTAGGAGTAAAATTAAGTGGTGAACACAAAAATATTTTTAATCAGCTGTTTAAGTACTAATCAATTGATTAGAATGTTGGAGAACTCCAGCCTAAGTTTGATAACTTCGAAAATAAAGTTACCTAATCACATTTAACTGAAAGTGAATTATTGATTTCAGGTTTATTCGCAGGCCAGTCGCAATGGTTGGACGGTATCGCCAAAAGTCTGGGTTACCAGAGTGTGAACCATTACGCAGTAATTATAGACGCTGGTTCCTCGGGCTCCAGGGTGCTGGCCTACAAATTTAGAGTACCGTTTACAGGTTAGTAGATGTGTTAAAACATTATTAAGCTCAATTGTAAGTCAACACAAATTAAAACTAACTTCATATGTTAAAAAGACGGTTCATATGTTCAAGCAACTTCTAGAGAAGTTTATTTACCCTATTCTACATTTTCGATTGTAGTATGCGTATGTGGAATAGTAGTAATATAATTTATAAATGTAACTCTCATTTAACATATGCAAAATGAAGTATTATTGTAAAACTAATATAAAAGCTATATAAACGCTTGAAAAAATATGTTATACCTGAACGACGTGTTCCAACGTGTACCAAGAGTGTGGCATATTGCTTGGAGTCATTGCCACGTCTTTGTCATCCCACGCAATTCTCATAATTTCTAGTAGGTCGACTATAAGCATTAAATAGACTCTAATATCAGATTTTAGATTTCTGATAGAGTCAATCTTAAGTCTTGATGCTTTGAAAGAAAAGTTATATAAAGTGCTGCTGTGTATAAATCTATATCTATAAGTATGCTAGAAATATGAGTTGTTATATTATTTTTATAAATTTAAATATTATAACGACATTTGTTTCAGTATTCGGGCAAGCCAATTTGGATTTGGTCGAGGAATATTTTGAGCAGTCCAAACCAGGCTTGTCTTCTTATGCGGATGATCCAGCAAAGGTATGAATAAGATGTTGACTTAGGTTTATAAAAATTACATTACAATTGTTAAGAATCTGTGCATATCTAACGGAATAAGCGTTGCGTATCGGTCTTAGAACACATATAGGATATGAAATTTAAACTCTCATACTAGACCAGGGGTTGGCAACCTTATGAGATGGTAGACTCAAAAGCTACAAAAACCCACAGTTTTAAAGGGTCACTGAAACGTTTATTGATATAATAAACGACTAATATCTCTCAGTAATAAGTTATCTTAATCAAATTATAGTATGGATACTTTTACGTCGAAAGTTGCGCGTCTGCTTGTTGCTGACCCCTGTACTAGACGGTTGGTTGGTAGCGTACTATCGCATACTTCTGCGATAGCTCATATTCTTTCTTTCGTCATATTTACGGAGACTTGATGTGTTATTTGCGCTCATTATAATAACAAGTAAATCTGACTATATATTCATTTTTGAATGTTATATTTGTGATCAAAGACGAATATATCTTAGTTTTTTTAAATAATTGAAACTAAACACTTATAATCAAATAAGTGATACTAATTTTAAAGTTAGCCGATTATTAATTAACACTAGAAGCGCCGCTGTTTTTGTCCGCAAAGCGCATTTTTGTCCCATACGCAAGTTTGATTGTTACTTTTTACATTAATAGAAGACGATGAGACTTTTTGACATACGTTTATATAATTTAAAAATATTTTTAATTTCATATCGGCAATACTTTTGATAAAAACACGTTTTACCTAAAATTGCCGCTGGGTTATTAAGTGTCGTCATTATTTGAAGGAATACTCGATATACAGTAATTACTCCGGGGTAAGTAATTGTATGTGCGAACAAACAATTGAACGTTGTCTTTTGTTTAGTACAGTTGGACATACAGAAAATTATTACGTTAGCCATCGATGTGCGTAAAGAGTGTACATTATTGTTTTTCTAAGGGTTTCTCACGTGTCAAAGTTATAAAACCGCACGAAATTGTGTATTATTTAATGATATTTTGACTCAGATGGTGAACCTTTGGAATACTCCATAATAGGTTTTTATGCCATGAATCTGAAAATACTCAGATAAAAATACTATAAGGTGATTAGCTTAATTATTTATATTTCCTTAATCATATTACGCAATATTTGTATTCATATATTATATATTCAATATTAAATATCTATATCTTATTTTTTATTTGAGGAGCAACAATTTTGATCGTAAATAAAGCACAAGATCGAAGGCGCAGTCAAAAACGAAAACTATAGCTCGTGATGTAAGAGCCGGACGCGGCCGGACGCGGCCGGTCGTTTGCGACATTCAAAAAATTACTTTTATTTTTGTTAAGCAATAAGAATTTGTTCTAATTAGATTATTAAACATTTTCTAAATATTTCATGAATTGTTTTAATACTAACTTACATGTCGTATACCAATGATTATTGTTACAAGTGGAATGGCACAAAATGATCACGACGGCCCTCCAAGGGGGGTCTTAATGTTCGGCGCTTCTAGAGTTAATAGCCTACACAAAACTACAGCCTTTGGGTTTACTTTCATACCGGATACTGCATAGTGTGTATTTCTAATCTGTCAATATTTATTAATAGGCGGCACATGCCGTTCTTAGATAGAAATAGCCCCTACATGTGGTATAATGTTACGTTTTAAGGGCGCCGACACAATAGTACAATTAATTAAGAAAGCAGAGTTCCTTATACCGGCGGAAAAACGCCGGGGCACGCCGCTCATAGTGCGCGCCACCGCCGGACTGCGGCTGTTGCCGCAGGAGAAGGCTCAAGCACTGTTGGTCGCTGTATCCAAAGCGATAGCCACGTAAGTACAGTGAAGACTTCGCTGAATAGTACTTGTGCTTGGCGTCGCGGCAAACAGCGTTCATAGCGTCGTGTTCAAGCTTTAATAGCTTCGTGTAAAAGCTTTTTATACCGTCGCGTTAATGGGCCATCCATAAATTACGTGACACGTTAGGGGGGGGGGGGGTCGACGACCTGTGACATTAGAAGAATATTTAGTAGAATTTGTATAGGCAAACATGTGACAGGGGGGAGGGGGCGGTACAGTTTCAATAAATACAGTTTATGTGAGCTGGAAAAGTTGATTACAATAAAAAACAAATATTAATATCATGAAGTTTCCGTTGCTCCTTGCAGCGATCGGCTCTAAAAAGCTCCTCTGTTTTGCCGAAAACAAAATTTCGTCTATTTTCGAAACGCTGATATGACTCCAAAGAGACACATTTTCCTTTAATATAAGATGTAATAGATGACCTGACCATAACTCTGATGCACAGATTATCTTCACGGATATGGTTTTAATAAAATTATAAGAACGTTTCTATATTGAACTGAAACTTCGTTCGTGAGAAAACAGAGAAGGTCCTCAGGTCTTTGCCTTATAATAGCGGATAAATTGCATCAAACTAGTAATAAAAATATGTAATCTTCACTCTGAATTGAAGATTAGTATTTTATTTATTCAAGGTTAAACGTATTGTCTTTAGTCATAAATTAATACATTTGAATTCATTTCAGGTTGGGTTACGATGTGGCATCTAACGGTGTGGAGATTATGGATGGATCTGACGAAGGCATCTTCATTTGGTATACATTGAATCTTTTACACAGTGAGTTTTGATGTTTATATTCATTTTTAATGAAATATAGTCAGTTTTATTTTAAAATGAGCACTAAAGTTACTATTTGGTTTAATCTATTGGCAACATAAAGAAAATTAACAATGAAAAAGAAAAGGTCAAATTGAGACTTGTTGATTTTTTTTGTTCGGATAATAGTTTAATCCTGGTACTAAGTTAGTCCTCGTTTTATAATAAAACTAATGCTCGTTTTCACTAAATTTGGAGTCCCCTAAATATTTAGGAATCGCCTGAGGTAAAAATGCATTTTACCATTAACTAGTGGGACGGGTTCGATGCTTGAGCGAATTAAAGAAAGGCTGACTAGCTTGAGAATTTATTTATTTTATGGTAATAATGAGTAAAGAAAAAAAAACTGTAACAAAAAATGAATATAAAAATAGTTCGTATGTTTACCTAAATATAAAATTAAAATTGCTAAATAAAACAAATACATACCCCTTTTTGGGTTTCTTAATTAAAACTTGGACGCTTTTACAGGATATAATTTTGTATATATAATTTCTATTTCAATCACATATCTTCATACGACCTCCGTAGCCGAGTGGTTCGCACGCCGGTTTCAAGGTGTCGCCATCTCTGAGGTCCCGGGTTCGATTCCCGGTCGGGTCCCTATATTGACTCGGGTCTGGGTGTTGTGGTACCTTCGTTGTCTCAGATACTCCATAATACGGGGGCTTTAGCTACTCATCTTGGAATCTGAGCAATGTATGTGATGTTGTTAAATATTTATTTATATTTATATTTATTTATATTTATATTTATTTATATTTATATTTAAAAATAATATGTTCACAACAGAAGAATTTTTTGCGAACTGACATTCATAAAGAGCATATTTGATTAGTCAAAATTTCAAATTACGAAAGGTGAAAAGTTTGCATGCGGAAACCTAGGATGAAATAAACGGTGGTATGACGCACCGTTACACTAGGAACCACCTAACAAAATTAAGCAATCTCAAAAGTTATAATATTCGTTATACGGCGCCTTGCGATAGGCATTTGCGTATATGACAGGTAATAAATATGTCAAGGGTTAAAGAAATAAATATTTATTTGGAGGAAATCAACTTAGGTGATTCGTAATATTACGCGCTTCCTAGTAAGCTATGCCTTGTTCCAGGTTAGTGAAAATGAGTGTAAGTGAGTTTTGGTTTTGACATAGTGAGTTTGTGGTTTTAACGTCGTTAGTTTTGGTTTCTACACGTAGTCTTTAAATATAAAATAAGCGCATCGATTCTGATAATTACACTAGTGACTAGTGACTGCCTATAGCACCATTTTATTATGCCCAAAAATATTTGTTGAATTAGTAAAATGCTTATTTGATCAATTTTGCACTCAAGTGCACATTTTTCATTAAAGATATTAAATATATTTTTGAACTAAAGTATAGGTTGGAATAAAAGTTTATATATATATTAATATTATAAATACGTATATAACTATTTGTCTGTTACGTTTTCACAATGAAACTGCTGGCCCAATATTTATGAATTTTAATGGAGACAATTTGTTGTATATTTATATTCTAAAATCAAAGACATAGGCGTACCTACTTGCGAATAAAATAGTAATTGCAGTAATGGCTATGAATTCCATTTGCGAAAATAAAAAAAAAAACTAATGATTTTTAGCCTGCTAAGTCGTAAAAATTAGGCAAAATTGTATATTTTAACTATAAATTGTATCAGATCTGATGGACGGTGAGACGATGGCAGCTTTGGATTTGGGCGGCGGTTCTACACAAATAACGTATCAGCTTGGAGATGGCGACGCCAAGTCGTTCCCACCGAACGATCAGTATGTAGTGCCCGCGGGGGGAAACAATATCACGCTTTATACACACAGGTGAATTAAAATTATTATTTTAAATATATGGGAACTAACAGTGGGACTGGAATTGGTCCTTCGAGCCGGATAGCGCATCTAACATCATATTTGCACTAGGCAATGTGTTAGGTACGTTAATGTTATTGCATTTATAAAGTGTAAAATGACACTAGTTTTGAGTGGGATTGTTTAGTTTTGTCAAAAAATATAATAAATTTTAATGTCATATTTGATTTTGACGAAAGCAACATTTTAACAATATAGGTGTTTCAGGCCTTGATTTATTCAATTTCTTATGGATTTTAAATGTACTAGTGTATTCGGTAAGAAATGCATCTAGTTTACAAACAAGCAGTTCAAAAGTTATTATTTTGAGCTCCTCGACGTTTCGGAAGGCTGCTTCTGCCGTCAACACCTACTAATACGCATTCAGCCCGCGTGATGGGTTCCGGCCATAGAAATTGTGAATACAAGATTGCTTAAAATAAAATAGTGTTTTTTTTTTGTTCTAGCTACCTCAATTTAGGTTTATTAGCGGCTCGCTACGGTATTTTCCGAATGGAAGCCAACGATAATTCCACTACAGAGTTCACTTCAGTGTGCGTCGACCCTATAGTACAGAAGGAACCGTGGACTTATGGGAATAAGCAGTACGTCATCAGGTGAGTGGAAATATCATGACGATTGCTAAGAGGGCGGTGAAGCCTAAAAACTTCACAGTTCAGGACGTCTTTTGATTGATGAAACTGAATTTGCCACCTGCTTGTACCAAACTTATACACGTTACATTAGTTTATACACTTAATTTTTTACTAAACACCTATATTGATTTTATTCTTAATAAAACCCAATTTGGATATGACTTTTTTTTTACAAATAAAAAACAATTCATGGAAAACTACATAATTTTTACATTATTCCGTTGCATTTTTCTACGTTTGTTTTACGATTTGATACAATTATTCCACTTTTTCTAATAACCATTCTATGTCAGTGGATCACAATTGTTCACTGTCAATTTCATTAATTTTATCTTGCAAATTCATTATCTATAGTAATATATACAAATCACTCACATTGTATAACAATCAAAAATTTAAAAAAAAAAAAAGAACTCTCTTTAATATTCCCGCTAAGCTTCTACGGAACATAAATCAACTTTACATTTTGACATAATTAAAGGCAAAGGGATAAAACACATACAACTTAGTCTAGAGTGATAATATTCACATTGAGGTTCACTTGGACGTGTAAAATGTTTTTTTTTTTTGAACAAAAATTGAAATATATTAGAAAATGGCGTTTCTGACCCGTGGAACACCAAAGTGGTTCACCTAGGTGTTCCATTGTTAACTTTTCCTACCCCTGGATCACCTAGGTGTTCCACGGATAATTTTGTTTACCCCTGGTTCACCTAGGTATAATTTTTCTGTGGATACTCTTTTCGTTGATCTACTTATACGGCTAACTTTTTGCACCTCTAAATATTAAAATCTATTGGATTATTTCTACACAGCCAATAACGCCGTTTAAAACTTTCTTCGAGTGTAGGAAATTGATGGAAATCGAGACCGCTGACCATCCTTTCGTCCTCTACTTATGTACTGGTCACTTAAAAATATGAGTTTTTTTTATTTATCAATTATATACCTAGTATTTTTATTTTAAAAATGATATAATGAAAACATTATCTGTATTAAGACAGCATCAACGTACCAATAATGTTACCGAAGGCTTCAATGCCAAATGAAACCGAGCGCTAAACACAATGACATTATTTAGACCTATAATAAAAATTCCTATTAAAAAAGAAAAATAATTCTCGAAAATGATAACTATATTCTCAACATACAAATGCAATTAGTTAATAAGGAAATCACTATAGTGAATGCATTATTAAAGCTACTTAATAAGGCGTTTTTTTTATGCGAACCTATCTGTAAAAGATGGAAAAATGAAAACGACTATTTGATCCAGAGCATACGGAAAGCTGTCGTTGCGGTCGCGGTGTAGAAGCTACTGGAATAAAGGCGGGACGTATGAGCGCGATGTGTGTACCGCAATCGACAGCCACCCGCATTAACTTTATTATAAAAATCAAAGGCAGAGGATATACAAATGGACACATAAATTATTATCTATAACATATAGGTAACTTAAAAATAGTTAACGTAAAACTAAGATAAATTACATAATTTAATGAGTGTGTATGCGTCGCCTACAATACTTGCCCCTTAGTGTTATCAACACTATCCTCTCGTGGGTTAAGTAGAGCGACGCGTGTTACCGGACGCCGTAATATACCGGTGCGCGTACGCACATCAATCCACGGATCCGTCCGTCGCCACCTGCATGAGCCGCAGTCGCCACTCCATATCTCCAGGAATTACGTTCTACAGTTTGAACATTATGTTCACGACAAATCGTATCGGCTAAACGAGCGCCTAACAATGCCCCCTGTAGCTCTAGCCTAGGGATAGAAATAGGGCGTAAAGTGCTCACTCTGCTTTTACTAGCAGCAAAACATACTAATACGCGTCCATCTAGTAACGTAAATCTCCAATAAATGACAGCTGCATACGCTTTCATTGATGCGTCACAAAGTACATGTAATTGTTTTTCAATAATATCCGAATAACTAATATCATTATCGGTTAGGTGTTGCTCTTGTACTCCAGCATAACACGGAGTCCACTTAGACGCATTTAAATAACAACGCGGAATACGTAATGAGCCTAATAGTTGCAGTTCGTTTAGCCAAACGATCCACTTTAAATGCTCATCGCACTGTATATAACTATTCCAATCGACTCCACTGCGATATACAGACTGAAATATTATTTTACCTTTAATAATAAACGGAGAAAGAAAACCATGCAAGTCATACACGGACATAATGGCACTCAGTAATTGTGACTTAGTTGGGGGTTGCGTGCCATTTAGAACGTCATTATGAAGACGATCAAGACATATCTTAAATCCGAAAGTATCTTCATTCGGATAATACATTAAACCGAGTGTACGCTCAGTGACATTTGTGGCACCTTGACTAAAATCAATTGCAGTATGCGCGAGTGCCTCAGGCGGAATAGCCGACAGCACTTGTTTACTATTGCTTGACCATCGTGCTATTTCGAAGCCGCCTTGTTTATGAATATAAGTGATATCACGCACTAGTTGAATAGCCTTCCTTTCATTGTCACAAGAATGTATACAATCATCCATATAATGATTGTTAATAATTATGTCTACGGCATCGGGATATAAATCTTGATATTTCAACGCGTTTTTATTTTTTATATATTGTGCGATAAATGGTGAACAAGTCGAACCAAAAAATTAAACTGTGCATTACACATATTTTTATATTGCTATGTTGACGAAAGCGTAACATAATACCTAAAAGAGAGTTGTACAGATCGGGACCGGTTAACAAATAATCATTCAAACAAACACCGTTAACTTTTCCTGCACCATCAAAAACTAATCTTAATTTGTCGGGTTTATTTGAATTCTGTACTCCAAAATGTGACAAATACCAAATATGGTTGGCTTTAAGTTCGTTTTCTTTAAGTTCTCGAGCGTAGCCTAGATCGAATAATTTCTGTATCTCTTGACGATACCTATTTGCATAAGAATCATCAGCTTTGAACTTCTTTAATAAACCTTTCAAACGTGATAAAGCATAGTTGTAACTGTCGGGCATACAAAAAACATCCTTATTGAATGGCAGACCGACCTCCCATTGATCACCAATATTGCGTGAACTTTCGTCTAAAATACGAATAGCTCTCAAGTGTGCCGTATTCTCACGTCGGACGGTCGATATTCCTATGCAGTCCAAGTCATACGATCGTCTAATTAAATCAGTCAACTCATTCATACTATCAGTACCTACAATGTTATCACTAACCTGTAGGAACTCTGAGTGAGCAAGATGGAACGCGTGTCCGTTGATGGAAGTGTGACTGCGACCGATGCAGTCGTGAAGTGTCCATCCTAATCGGCATTTAGTCGCGTAAGGTTCTCGCTCATTACCGTGCAATATGTCTAAGGGAGCCATTAAGAAATAATTATCTTGGCCGATCAGTAGGCGAGGCATAACACACTCTTTACATACAAATCGTTTAATATGCGAAAAATTATCACAATTAATATTATTTACTAAAGACAAGTTCTGATTTGGCAACTTAAGTTTATCAACTTGACGTAAAGTAATTTCATATACATTATTATTATCATGAAAACTAGATATTTTTGTACATACTTTAGGAGCATCAGATTGAAAAATTTCTAAGCCGAAGGCATCAACAAATTTTATAGGACTAGGTTGAAAAGATTTTAAGCCTAATTCACGTACTAGAGTCTTATCTATCATTGATATCGCAGCACCATCGTCTAATAAAGCATATGTACTCACAATACCGAGGGGTCCACTGAGATTCACTTTTACCACTTTGAGCATAACGTGCGGCGCGGGCGCGGAGACCTCGCTCGCTTGCGCGAGCTGCGTTGACCCAGGGCCCGATACGTGCGTAACGGCGGCGGCGGCGGCGGCGGCTTGCGCAGCCGGTGGCCCAGCATCGGCCCGCAGCGGTGGCGGAGCAGCTGTGCGCGGCAGGGCCTGCGCGCTGCCGGTGATGGCGTTTATATTCGAAGGCTGCGTTTCCGATGGGGTGTGGCTCGAAGAAGATTTATTGTAGTGCAACAAATGATGATGTGCGAGCCCGCAGTTATCGATATTACATAGCGGTGCTGGACATTCGTTCTTGTCGTGTCTATTTGATAGGCAACAGTAACATAAATTATTCATTTTAACAAATCTCCAACGTTCCTTTCTCATAGCTCGCTTAAATACACGGCAACTCGTTAGTGTGTGTGAACACTTCTTACAAAAATTGCATACAGTTGCATTAATGTCATTTGTGGAGGCTGTCGCGAGTATAGATCGATTATTACTATTATGCCGGTTATCAGCTGTTGGCTTGCGTATGTAGGTAACAGGATCAAATTTTTTATATTCTCGTGGTTGTATCATACCTACTACGGATATAATTTCTGCCTCGCGCTTGAGGAATGATGCAATTAATTCCAATTTCGATTGTTTTTCATATAATTTCTGGTACGCATATTCAGTCCATTTGCCAATAAGTGTACTCGGAAGCTTTGATGTGACAGTAGATAACAATTCTGGACTGGCACGTAACGTAGCCACACAGTTGCTTATTTTTATGGAAAAATTGAATATATCTTGCTGATAATTATTAGGTAACGGTGTCAACTTTTTCATCTGGTATAACAAATGATGAATTATGATATCTGGCCGTCCAAATCGTAATTCTAGTGCCTCGAGAATATGTGATGGCGAAGTATTACCTATTAGAAGGTCAGTGACTGCTTCTCTGGCTTCTCCTTTTAGAGCACGACGTAGTCGCCATATATTCTCCGACTCGGTAAATTTACACATTCGAGTTGTTTCATTATAGGCACTTTTAAAGTGCAGCCATTCTATACAGTCTCCACTGAAAATAGGCAGCTCACGAGGGGTAGACAGTCGCGTGAGTAGACTATCTTCATGCTGTTTAGATGACGAAACCATGATGTCCTTGAGGGTGTGCGCTAGCTGAAGGATGCTGTCGACAGGCTGGGTGGAGGCCATAGCGTGACTCGGTTCTATAACTTTAGTAGCCTGCGCTGCCTCTGTAGCCGTCGCTGCTGCATTATCTTCCAGCTTAGGCGGCTTTATGCTGCTGCGGTCCAGCCAATCCTCAACTCGTGAACATATATTGGCGTCCGTATTTTTACTAAATTGTGATCCACTTCTGGATCGATTGTCGTCTTCGTTTATTAGAGCTAAATTGACTTCTAGCTGCTTATTAATTAATTCAATTTCAATTTTCGCTTTGGCTTGAGCAGCTTCTAGTTCAAGCTGTTTGCGGCGGGCTTGAGATGACGTCGACTTTTTTGACGAATGTATCGACTCATTCTTCACCGATTGTCGCGTAAAAGTCGCTTTCCAATGTCCTGGATGTATTTTCAAGGATGAATTGTCGTTTGGCATCGGCACCGCCATTTTGTTGCTCTTAGCGAGCACGTGCTCGGAAGCACATTCTAATCGTTCCGTTAATTTTAATCGGTCTTTTTGTGTAATACCTATTGTCGCGCGGTGGTGTACGATGCATGATTAATTATTATAAACGTTACTGGTTACTAGATTTGGCTCGATGGATCAATTTTGTAAAAGATGGAAAAATGAAAACGACTATTTGATCCAGAGCATACGGAAAGCTGTCGTTGCGGTCGCGGTGTAGAAGCTACTGGAATAAAGGCGGGACGTATGAGCGCGATGTGTGTACCGCAATCGACAGCCACCCGCATTAACTTTATTATAAAAATCAAAGGCAGAGGATATACAAATGGACACATAAATTATTATCTATAACATATAAGTAACTTAAAAATAGTTAACGTAAAACTAAGATAAATTACATAATTTAATGAGTGTGTATGCGTCGCCTACACTATCATTTGACACTACTAATTAAAAGTAGAATATGGTGTAAAGTCTGTTTTCTGTCTCTTATTAAGTTGTTACATTACCAAAACAGATTTCTTTCTTGTTTTGTCCTGAAAATCTTTAATTTTATCAATTTTAACATTACATTAAGTTTTTGAATTATTTAGGATGACTTGTGTTTCATTAGATAGGTGAACTACGGGTACATTATTTTGAATGGCAGAACACCTAGGTGAACCAGGGGTACAAAAAGTTAACAGTGGAACATCTAGGTGAACCACTTTGGTGTTCCACGGGTCAGAAAATGGTGAGGTTCGTAAGAGTGACACGTTCGCGTTCTTGTACCTACTAAATTGACAAAAAACTGTTCATACCCATGTACCGTACCATTTCAAAGAACTGTGTATTGCTCACCTTTATTTATATTCCGAAATTTAATTCGAGATAAAAAAAAAATTATAAACAAATTATGTTATTTCAGGGGTTTTATTTTTGCAAATAATAATACAGATATAAGATGTATAGTCTTATTTTTAATCGACTTCAACGAAAGGAAGGTTTTTGATTCAAGTGTAACTAATTCTGTATAACAATGTGGGAATAAAAATGTCATTAGCCTATAGCTATTTCATTACTTTTTCAATTTTAAGTACTATGAATTGTAAATCAATATCGGATAAAATACTTGTACAACAGGTAGCAAATTCAGTTTCATCGGAACCAGGTTTTTCATAATTATATAGGGGTGAATCATTAAGTTTTTCAACAGAAATATATTGTAGAAAACATCTGGACCAATAATTAATTGGTAGTATGAGCCCTTAAAGGTACTAAACATTGATTACAACTTAAATTCTTCTAATTGGAATCACAAAACACATTAAGCTCTTCTACGATATTATTTTTTTAATAAAAAACTGTTACTTTTAATTAATTAACAAGGGAAATCGTGTTATTTATAAATATTTTTCTTACGATTTCGATTTTGTCCAAGAAATTATTAAATGTTAAAGACCAACATTTCATTATAATCATAATATTACCTAAGACAAGGCTGTATGGAAAGATCCCTTTTCCTCGAATTATATGATTACAATAAAAAAAATGAGCTACCGACAACCGTTCGTAGTTAGAAGGTGCCTACCGATGATTGTGAAACGCAAAAACGAATGGTTGTCGGTATATTATTAAGTCGCTCTTAAACTGTATTTAACGACGATGCGCAAGCCGCCCTTAGTGTAACGCGTAGGTATAAACGTGATAGTGTGTGCCGCAGCGGCGCCCGGCGGCACGGCATGAAGCGCGAGGCGGCGTTCACGCTGTGCCACGGCGCGGCGCTGCGCTACCTGCGCGCCGCCATGCGCCCGCCGCCGCCGCCCCGCGGCCGCGTCGCCGCCATGAGCTACTACTACGACGTCGCCGCCGACGCCGGCATTATAGGTCACTCGCACAACCACCACTATCCAACACTCACCACCAGCCCTTTTACGTCCCCACTGCAGGGGGTCAGGCCTTCCTTATGGATGGTTAAGGATGATGGGCCATGACCCTGGCCCAATGCGGATTGGAGGGTGTTAACGACTGTAAATGCAGCCGGGACCAACGGCTTATCGTGCCTTCCGAAGCACGGAGTAGCTCGAGATAATAATTTTTTTGGTCACCCATCCCGTGACCGACCCTTGCGAAAGTTGCTTAACGACTACGATCGCGGGCCGCGGCGCTTATCCACTACGCCACCGAGCTACTTTTATACTATCCAACACTATCCTCGTAATAATCAACATAATCATCACCATCATAATCATTAGTATCACCATCCACAACTATCCTTGTAGTAATTATCCTCGATGTCACCATAATCATTAGTGATGTGACGGGTTCGATGCTTCGATGCTGACTAAGCTTGAGAAATGACTTATTTTATGGTAAATAAATAAAGGGTAAAGAAAAAACTGTTACAAATAAAAAATGAATGTAAAAAAACAGTTCGTAAGTTTACCTAAATATAAAATTACAATTCCTAATTAGAACAAATACATACCCCTTCTTGGGTTTCATTTCGTTTAAGCATGATAACTTCATTATTATAATATTTTATATTTAAATTTATACGATTTACGATAACATGTACACAGCAGATGATTTTTTTTTACGAATAGACATTCATAAAGAGCATATTGGATTAGTCAAATTACGAAAGGTGAATAATAAAAAAAAAAAATTTTGAATACCAAAGATGAAAGTTTGCATACTGAAACCTAGGAAACATAAACGGTGGTACGGTACACCGTTATAATGATGCATCGATAATTCGTTTGATATTCGATATCATTTTTACTATCTGTATTCGGTCGAATTAGTCAGTTTTGGTGCCATATATATTCGGTTCGAGTATTTCTATTATTGCCTACACGACACGTTATAGTACTAAAAGATAAAACTTCTTATGTAAGATTTATGTTACCTTTATTGTAAGTCAAAGAAATCCTGTAAATAATGTGTTCAATAAAGATAATAAAATAAAGCTATAAAACATTGTTTTTAAGCCTGTTTTCGCGGCAAATCAATAAAATGGTAAACCAAATATTTCAACCGAATATCAGATACGGTAAAAGTTAATCCAAATAACATTCGGTATTTGGTGAAACTACTATTCGACGCATCTATAATAATAATAATGTAAATATGGCTATTAATCCTTACTGCTGGAGCACAGATCTTTAGAATATGGTGATTGGACCATAATCCCCCATCGGAGCCCAGTAGGCTTCGGTGGGTATTAACAACTGCAGATGCAGCGGGAACCAATGGCTTAACGTGCACTCCAACGCACAGATAAGCGCGACATAATAGATTTTTGATGACCCATCCTACGACAGCCCCACTAGAAAGTTGCTCAACTTGAAAATCGCAGACTAAACACGCTAACCATTGCGCCATCTCGAAACTACGAAACCTTAATTTTTGTTTGGTATTATTTTCAACGATTTCGTTTTGTAATACAGACGTAATGAAAGGTGGCACGGTGTCGTTGTCGCAGTACAGATCGGCCGCGGTGAGGGCGTGCTCCGCCTCTAACGTGGAGCAGCCGTGGGCGTGTATAGATCTAGTGTACGTGCTAACATTACTGCACGACGGGTACAACATGAGCGACAACGATCCCGTATCGGTCAGTATACTATCGTTTATATATATGTACGACGAAAGAAAAAACAGAGACTGAGAGGAGAGGGAGAAGAGTGGTAGAGGGAGAGGAGTGGTAGAGAGAGGGGAGAGAGAGAGGGTAGAGAAGAGGTAGAGTAGAGTGAAAGAGAGACGAGAGAAAGCAGAGAGAGTGAGAATGAGAGGGGGGTAGGGGGAAGAGAAGAGGTAGAGTATAGTGAGAGATAGGAGGGAGAGGGAAAAAGTCAGGGGAAGGAGGGAGCGTGAGGGGGTGTAGAGAGCTGTATTGGACAAAGTGAAACAAGTGTATATCATCATTATATATTTTTTTTATTTAAGCTCAACACCCATATAGATCTACATAAAGAAACAGATAGAGGGAAAAACACTTGTATTTTTTTTTATCTTTATGTGTTTGTATTCGATCGATATTAATTAATGTAAGATGTCCATTTTTTCACAGCTATTCAAGAAAGTTAATGGACATGAAGTGTCTTGGGCTTTAGGCCTCGCCTACACAACAGTCATGAACCGCCTCGCCGCTCCAGTTGCGGCCTAAAATAAAATAGACGACAATCTGATGTCAGGGTTGACAGTAAAATTAAAATAATGAATTTACACAAAATTCCACATTAGATTTTGTACGCATCGTAAATATCAGAATGTTGATTCTCGTAGCTTTTTTACGTCAAATTGTTATATAAAAATCTTGTCCAGTCACATGAAATGACAAAATATAATGCAGATTTTTTGACATATTTAAAGAAGACGCAATACAAATAAATATAAATTATATTATTTCTGTATAAACGGGGTTCTGATATACTATATAGAATAAATAGCACTTCTTTTTCTAATAATATGGTATGAAATATGATAGCTATGAATTAGTAAAATATTATTAATTAGTTAATTTAATAGTTGAAATTTCGTATTGTGTTATTGCACTATTGTGTTTTAGAATAACGTAACTTTAATATTTGAAGATAAATCTCACGCTTTGATCGGCAGCCCTGCTTGCAAAAGCTACATGTATTAGCAATAAACTAAAAGTAGGTCATTTCTGCTACAGTGCTATCAATAAACAAGAGTAAGTTTACGTTAAAATGGCAACCTTTGCTACGTCTCTGTTTAATAATATGAATTTTAATTAATACTAACTCAGCGTATATTTACTCCAACGCTAAACCTTGTTTATTAATATCATTGTTTCTGTTTACGTCATAATCGCATCTCGATAGAATCTCGCCGCTCTTCATCGTAATGTACTTAATCCTAGGAAAGTCTCCGTCGCGGCCCGCGATCGTTGTCGTTAAGCAACTTTCGCAAGGGTCGGTCACGGGATGGGTGGTCAAAAATTATTATCTCGAGCTACTCCGTGCTTCGGTAGGCACGTTAAGCTGTTGGTATCGGCTGCAATTACAGTCGTTAATACCCTCCAATTCGCATTGGGCCAGCGTGGAGGGTCATGGCCCAACCTCCTTAACCATCGTGTAAGGGCTGATGATGATGATGATGAATAGAATCTCAACTACTAGCACTTTGACTTTGTACTATCTACCTGAAGTTCAATATTGTTAGTGCCGTCTTTCTCACAATTTAATGGTGACAGATATATAATGAAATTGGATTTCGCCAAGTACAATGACAAAGTTCATTCATTCTATTGAGACGGACAAATGACATTCTATTGAGACAGAGACTTTCCTAGGATTCGGTCTATTACGGTGAAGAGCGGCGTAAAGCATTTTCGCGAATTTTCCGAAACTTATGATCCTTATGATAAGCAATAGTTTTAATAGTGAAAAATAAGTCACGAAATTCGATAACAAATGTGATTTTTCAGATTTATGTGATTTTTTGATGTGACAATTATTTATCGATGTTTTTTTTCTACGTTATCAAACAATAATGTTCGAGATATACTTGGTTAGGTTGTACAAGCCATTATAGCAAATTATTGCTAATAATCTAGCATTTCTGGGCTTTGCTATAAATTTGTCTGCCCTAAAGCAGTAAAACAGGACTAATAAAATTATCGGATTAATTAAAATCGATCGAACCAAAAAACATTATAACATACAAATTGAAGATATTTTGTATGGAAAACTAATCGTACATTTATCTATGAACATTTGATATATCAGAATGGAACTCACCGAAAGAAGCGAAAGGAAGTCTAGGATTCTTTGTATAGAAACATGAACTATATTACACAGATAGTAAGAGTTTTCCTATCATTCATTAGCACGGTGTAAAGAAAATCCGTTTCATTCTCCTTCTTCGGATGTGTTAGATATACGAGCACAATTAAACAAGATTCTATCTCTCGATACCTCTATGGTCCAGCCATGTGATAATTGTGTTTCTCTTTTACATGAAATTACTTTTCGAAACATATTCCTAGAAAAAAAAAAACTTGAAAATGTTTAATTTATTTGACGATTTTTTATTGTTTGTTGCCGTAGTATTTTTTTTTAGGAAATAATAAACTCGAGTTGACTGTTGGGTCATTTAAACACAACTGTGCTATGCGTACAATCGTCAGATTAAAAAAAAATGTAAAGCGAATTTTCGTTTGGTTCGCCTCGGATTGACTACTAGCAGTATGACCAGTTACTCTAGTGATGTATCGCCAATGGCTCTCGAGGAGTTTAACCTAATCTTGGTTCTATTGCACTTAATACTTAGTTGCATTATCATAAGATATTAATATAAATGTTCACGCACACCAACAATAAATGAAAGATACACTACATAATGAATAATAGTTTCGGTAATGAAAAATAACTTATTCTGAAAAATAAATAAACCGATATTCTGATTGAGTCATAAAATCGCATGATTATTTTATTAAAAGTACAGTGTTTTTTATATGGGTAATATACGATTGGAACACGACCCGCCATGGTGTGACGTCATATCGGCAGAAACATTTCTGTACCTGTCAGTTACACAGCCTGTAATTTATTATATTTGATCAATTTTGCATTCACACTGCTATACTGAAAAATATTCTTAATGATAGATGATTTAAAAATCCACTATTTCCCTGGCACTCCGAGATGGGTTAGAGCAGTCGCCCAGATTGCAAAAGGGGTTCGAGGCCAAAAATAGCTTCTAATTTTTTTTGCAGAAGGTGCCTAGACGACGCTGCTCTTACGTATTTGAATAATTTTATTTTGTTTTTTTTTCAATCAATCAAATTTTGTTTCAATCAATCTCTATGCGTTTTGTGTACATATCGAAATGACGTCATAAATATGGCGGACAGTGTTTACGCGGGTATAAAAAAAATAAAATCCTGTTTTAAATTTGTAGCAATAAAATGTATTTATTTTTCAGAAATATTTTACAAGTACCTAGTTTTTCAAACAAAGCAGAGTAACCTATTGGGCAATAAGGCAGACTTTTGTGGATTACCATTTCAACAGCTTCTGTGTATAATACATTTTGTGCGAATAGGATATTTTATAATATAATTTTAATTTTTAGCATAAATTAACTTGTAACATTTTATGAGGCAAGTTATCTCAATTCAAAAGTTTAAATAATGTAGGTTCGAGCTAAATGAATATCGGAATATTTGTTTTTTTTTAAATAATTTAATGAATTATTGATATTACAATGCGTATATCAGAAATCATGTGAAAACGTTTGAGCTTATCAGTGGCGGACTAAGGGGGGGGGGGGGGGTGCGGAGGGGGCGGTCCGCCCCGGGCCTCTTATTCTTGGGGGCCTCCAAATTGGGGTTGTACTGCCTTATCTTTTTCTGCATTAGTTGTAAAAAGTTGTAGGTACGGACCTAATGCCGCCCCGGGTCCCCGACAGGGTTAGTCCGCCGCTGGAGCTTATACTTATATTTTGCGTTATAATATATTGTAGACATTGTTATGAATTTGTTAACGTTTTTTTTGTCATATATGTGTCTTGATATTTTTAGTTATTATAAAAACAAGGAAGATTACTCGATTTTCAGGTATATTTATTCGGTAATTGGTAACATTGTCCGTCAATGATATAAGGACGTTTTGACTATTAAAAGTTTAGATTTAGATAAACGTGTAGTGTAGTACCGGAAGTGACACTTATGAAATGGAATATAATAACAGTTTTATTATGACTTTTACCTAAAGATATTTTTATCAAATTTATTATCGATGCTTGTATATGTGTATAGAGTATTTTATGATGTTAGCACTTATTACGTGTTTATGAATATATATAGTATTAATGCACAAGTCGATGTATAAAAAATTGATATTCGGGTTGGTGGATAACGATCTTTAGGCGGTTGTTCGACCGTAGACTTATTATTATTCGTGTATCCCGCTTAAAATGCTAAAGTCGACAGCCTCAGGTTAAGGCTAAAAAGTTTTTCCAATCGCTTTCTTTTAAATCTGTTCATGGCTTAACTAAGAACAGGAAAATTCTTTACAGCTCGTTTTCGATATGTTGTTAAGAATACATTTAGCAGCTAATCTGTGAAAGTAATAGTAGATGGCGCTGGTTATGTCGGGAGTTATGAAAGCTAGCACATGCTTGCAATTTGAATCGTAGGTGGAAAGATATTCGCTAATCAGACGAATATTGACCAACTGACAGCTGTCACACCTCCAATCTAACTAGCGCCATCTACTATATCTTTTAAGAATAGCCGCCATTTTCTTTATTCTCCAACAAGTTTCTTTCTCACTAAGTTAAATGCCTACTGATGATTATGTTATTAATAATATATTTTTTCAATTTTAAATGTTAATTTATGCAAATTAGTTGTCGAAGACATCCTTTTATGTGAATAAACAAGGATAAAACGTGGGTGATATAAGTTGTGAATAATGTGATGCAGTTTTTTTTTTGTTTTTTTTTATGAGAGTAAATTGATGGTTCCTTATATAAGTTGCGTTTTATTTATAAAGCATTGTCGCCCAACAAAGAAGGTCGTACAATTACCCGGCATTACATACCCCTTTCACTTGTGTGCAAACATTATTATTGCGCTTTCACAGACACGTCTAACCAATTTAGTCATAGTAAAGGGAACCTAAAATGTTGCAATATCTATGAGTAGCCACAAAGGTCAATGTACGAAGTATTTTCCGTTCGGCGACCGAGCTATCGAAGATCTTTTAAAGGTGAGATCGTAAGATGGCATTTTTTTCTGATTATAAATCTTTTAATAAATTCGTGTTTTGTGTATAAAATGCTCCATCCATTAATTCGCAAAGTATAGAAAACGCGAAGACAATCTTTTTTAAGTTCATAATTCATTAGTAGGCACTCTATTGTATGATTTCGTCAGAGCGTGTGAGGGGAAGGCAGAGAAAATAGACCGCCATAGACATGGATTTTTAAAATATTTGCTTATAAATTCGAATGGAACGCGCCAAACGAAGCGAAAGAAAGGAATAAAATTCTTAGTTTGAAAACAATAACCTCCGCAAACTTGTCAGTCATTTGCTAGTTTAAAAAAATCATTTCATCTGCCTTTTATTTACTTAATTAAATTACAAGACGGGTACTCCATCGCGTAATTTATAGGGGTCGGCACCTTATTTAGTATGTTCTAGGTTGGCCCTACTGGTGTATTTGAGGCTACATGATCAGGATAAATGATCAGATTAGTAAAAAAAAATATAATCTGAAATTCTCGAGTGCGTCAGATAAGGGGTGTAGTTACCGCTGCGGCCCCCAACGTGCGTGAGCAAAAATAAAAAAAAACTTCCCATATTTCTTTTTATTTCAGGAATTACAAAAGTCAAAAAGAACAACGTGGAAAAAGAAACCTCTTTTTCCTGCGTAAAGCATGCGTTTCAAAGTTGGCAACAACCCACATCGGTTTTCGTGGGCTGCATGATTTCTCCATTTAGGTCATTTACTTCAACAGGAGAATGCCACAATTATCGATGATAAAATTCGCGCAGTTTATACAAACATTTATTTTCTTTTGTGACAAATCATTACCCTTCATAAGTGCCCTCAAACAAATTTTCATACGGGGCCCGCCAAGGCACGCTACGCCACTGCGTCAGATTAAGGTAGTGAACAGAGTACATTATAGTGTGAAGTAGTTACATGCTAAAACGTGTTTATTTGACTATTCAGATAATTTGAAATTTACCTAAAAAGAAGGGGGATGGTTACAAATTTGAAAAAGAAAGACATTTTCGAGCGTGGCTATTTTTTAATTTAAAGGGAATAATTCAAGGATTACGAAAAATATATAAACTGACGATTTCCACAAACCGAAGTAAGGAAAATTCATCGATTAGTTTAATGAGTGCAGTGATCTGTCCTCACTCTAGTTTCGAATATAAAAAATATAGTATAACATGTATATATTTACAATGGAGTCACACAGCCGCCATATTTGTTTTTTTTTAACGTTTACTATCTAAGAATACTTCGGCTGTTTAATTTCATTATGGTACTAGATGTGAGGTAATAAAGAATATTACATATAGGTATACAACATACAAAAACATAACTCTTTCTTTGCATTCGGGTAAAAACATTCTTTTATATTTGAATTTCCTGAGCTGTTCAATTAAATAAGATTTTAAAAAATTAAACCAATTTTTGTCTGTTTTTAACTGTCCAGATAATCGTCGGATTATGAGACAGCACGTCTATGGCATAAAGATGAATCATATTTTTTTCGCACTTTCTAATAATGACCGATACATTGTGTCACGTCTAAATCGTTAGATTATTATAGCTATAAGAGCTTTTATTAGGATCAATTAATATCGCCTTAGAAACTCTAACACGCTCGATAAAAAAAAATATTCTATTTCACAGTAATAAGTTACGTACAATAATAAGATTCTTCATCTAAAAACGCTTGGAACTGACAAGTGGAACTGACGGTGCTACAGATTCCAAGGAGGGAGGTGAAGTGATCTACAGGGATGTTTAGATCTCTTCATAACGGTGGGAAGGGGAGAGGAATCGAACTCTAACGCATTATATCCACTCTGTCGGGGCTAGCGGAGTTGGACCAAGGTTTGATCTTGTTAGGAGGTGGGGGTGAGTATCCTGGCGACCCGATCACGGTCACTAAATTATTTCAAGTAAGTTAAGAAATATAACTATCTATGTATACCACAAAGTCATGGAATGTGGCGACTCAGCACGTCTCGGAGGCTTCATTTTTCATAAATTTATTATTTTAAGAAAAAGAAAGAATCTCATAATGTTTTTCTCTTTCGAGAAGTTTGTACACAAAGTTCTTTAATATAAATCACGTTATATTTTCATTTTCACAATTTATTTGACATTGAATTAAATGTGTAAGTGATAGTTATAACTAACTCAAAAATAATTTCTAACTTATAGATATCTTTATGCCAGACCTTTCCCGGGTAGTGTTACTTTGTCTGTATACACAATTCTTGAAACCATACATCAGGTTGGGGTCAGAACTGCGTTATGTTTAGCGAGATGTATTATCTGGCTCAAGGATAATCTACCAAGAAGTTTTCCCATTCACTTTTCTTCCTATATCAGCGATGTACCTTCTGACATGCTAAAAGCACATCCACAATAAACAACATTAACAGTCATGGCCCATCCTCCTTAACCATCCATAAAGAAGGCCTGAGCCCCTGCAGTGGGGACATAAAAGGGCTGATGATGATTCACATTTTCCAATATTGTCTACATTATTAACTATGATACTAATATTTATATTTATATGGTATTTTTCAATTTCCATTATCTTTGTTTCCTTCGCATTCAATTACTGTAAGCCTTTTATCATACATTCATCTTTCATCACTGACATAAGAGTTTGCAGATCGGATGAGTTTCTACAATCATCACCGAGTCACTTGACAACTAGATCACCCATTCGTAGTCCAACATTCATAGATCTTATTCTATTGAGACTAATCTCGTTATAGGTATACGTTTAATAGTCTTGTCGACAGCACTCAACCCTGCTTGTCACAAATATTGATGCTACTAGGGCGATATGTTACCTTCTACATGTCCATAACACACAGCCGAAAGCATCACTTCCACGTTTAAGCATCATGCCCTAAAGCTTCTTTTGTACTATTCAGTCAAATGCTACACTCCATATCTAGATTTACCTACTCAGAGGAAAAATTCTGATCTTTAGATACACTACGATGTTGAAAAACAAAAAAAACATGAGCTATCCCACTTTCTTTCCATTTCTAAATTTTCCCTGTGCTTCCCACACCACTCCATCAGAGATCACCTACATGCTCTTTTCAAGTATTTTTCCATAAACTTTGAAAATAAATAATTTCATTTAAAGCTTACAACATTTAATTAAAAAATGATATCAGAAGACATTTACAGAACAAATATCATAACAATAATATACAACATACAACAATAATTACCGAGAATCACATCTGATATTTGCACTAATAAATAAGAGCGTCCAGCATTTTAAATTTTGTGATGATGACAAGAAAATTTACAAATTCGAATTAATTAAAACTAATAGAAGCTAAAATACGTGTATGTTAATATTGCATGTCAATTAAAAGCAAAATCATTAATAAAATAGATTAAATTAAATAAATAAGCTTTACGCACAGGTTGATGCGCAATTACTATTTAATTTGAAATCTGAAACAGTAAAATAATCAGATTACTATATTCGATCAACCAATATAGGAATTTGCGGTCCGAGATTTCGATATTC